TTTTTCTCTATCATTTAGTTGGAGTTGATTAGAAAAATATATTTTTACCGTCGTACTTCTTGAAAGCAAGACCCGATTTAGGAGCAGAATAGTTAATTCAGACCAAAACAGCTCTTTAAGCAAAACCGTATCGTACAGCACATAACTACCTTCCCGTCCTCACGCCCCCACCCCACTCCCCTTAGTTGGAGGGATATGGGGTAAAATGTGCGATGACTTGACGTTCGCCCCAATTGTCTCGGCAAAGGTCTATTTCAGCTCTTGTTGTACACCAGATTATTTTGGCAGAAAAGTAGAATAACAACAAGTTGAATAGATTTTGCCCCATCAATAAATATTGATTCCGTTTACCGCTTTACCGGGTTGAACTCAACATCGGTTTCATTCCCCAGACTGTTCTCTATACATTTCCTGGCGTGCTGACAAGGAGAATTTGTTTAACAGTCAAGAGCTTCCTTCGTGGTGATCATTTCCTATATTCTCATGACCTTAAAGTTTAGTTAAGGTGAGACACCGTTTGAAGACATAAGATGCTAGTTACTTTAAGGGATTGAAGCCGGGTTTAACTATTAATAAACGATAGAACTTTCCCAAAACAAAACGCACGACTCTAAAAGCATTGAAGTCTGCCACTTTTGGGCTTTTTGTAGACCCCGGATAAAAAGCAATTTATAGTAAGTTTGCGTGGGCAAAAAGTATAAGTGAGGAAATAAAACACAAATTACCATAACTGAGAGCTTCATGAACAGTGGTTAGTAGACTATAGGCTAAAGTTTGCTTGGATACTGTTTTACTTCTAACATTACATTTAAACAAAGGCATCGTAACAAATCAGCGGGAAATCTATCTTAAACCTTACTCTTTTTTTTTTCTCAAAAAAAAAAAAGATGATGTGTTTCAGCCAGAATTTTCATCCACGTTTAATTATGTCTCGATCCAAGAGGGGGTCAGCAGATTAAGATAACAATTTTCAAAACATTTCATCGATCAGAAATGAAGTCGCCTAGTCTATGATTGATCACTTATTCTGTAACAAATGACACATTCCAGGCTAGCCAATCGCATTAGTTACGTAAGGTCACATTATTTAATTTCTACCTCAATGCGCGCCTCTTTTAAAGTTTTGCTTTCTCCTCGAATCAAAACAACCCGTACAATGTCGGAAATGAATTTTCATAAGCCTAGGATTTTTGGTTGTTGACTGAATCTGGTAAACTGCTTCAATTGAAGTTTCATCAGAGAGAGAACTGTCTATCACTGATCAACTTTTGATCAAATGTCTCTATGGAGTGCGTCGCCTCTTCAAAGGCAACACGCCGAAATTGCAAATGTATCATAACACATAACGAGATAACCTAAAACACTATCAAGCGCGACAGCAAATATTTCTTACATTATAAATATCAATTCACCGCTTGGCTGTCCAACGGTGCAAGTTATTAAAAATAAACTAAGTGGGATTAAGTTTGAGCTAGCCTTAGGCAAGCGGCTACGGTTGAAGTAGAATTAGTCGGATAAAAGATTTCCAATTGAAACAATTAATTTTTCGCACGTTAGACAGACTAATTAGTGACAAGGGTAATTAGTTCTTGAAATAATAATTGTTCACTTCATACGCGCAAGAAATCAGCGAGTACAACTTTGAAAGTCAGGCAAAATGTAGTATCCGTGCAAAATATCAAGTTTATCTTGGAGTCAAAGTTTGATCATTTAAGGAAAATTGCTGGTTTGAAAGACATGAAAGAAAATTGCGGCGTATTTTTCGTGTATTTTTCTTGTTTGTGTATAATTTCCTGCGATTGCTCAAACGAACATCTTATTAACGCGAGCGGCTTCTCGCCTCTACTAATCATTTCTAATTAGGAGATGATATTAATTAAGAGGTTAATTACATATCAATAGAATTTGACAAGTCGGTAAGAAAGTCGACAATACATGTTAAACCTTTGCATGGATGCCGGCTTAATAATACTTTACAAAGCCCTTGAGAAACACGCAAACACTTCACTTGCGAGCTTATGTCTCTTCTGTTGGGAAAATAACTCTTCAATGTCTGCCAGAACACTTCAATACAAAGGCATTAATCTGAAATGAATTTCCGTTGCTCTGTATTGCTTTCATTTCCTGAGAAGTGACAGCCCTACGCGCAAGCTAACGAAGTCGGCTCAAGCTACGCGATAAAGGGCCTTAATTGCATTGATCTCTTTTAAGCTAGACTTGGTTTAATTTCCTCTTTTTACGAAGACAAGTGCATAATGCTAGTATCATTGCTTAAATTTCCATTTATTCATCTTAAAGGAGATAGATATTTCATTTTTGATCACCTTTTCGATATCTGCGGCGGTAATAATGGGAATCGAGTCGAATTTTTCAACATCCGAAAAGTTGGCAAGAGTAAAAGTGGCATTTAATTGTTTCCAATTGAATGTTGCTATTGAAATGTTATCGTCATTTAATTGTTCGCAGATCCTAATATTGGAGGCAAAAGCTTAACAGGAGTGTTCATCGGTCTATCTAGTCAACATGAAATGAACAAAAACGAAATGATAGTGTAGGTGAATATGCAAAAGAACCATGGTCTGTGGAAGATGTTGAACTCTTTGAAACACTCTCAAATGTTGACGTGAAGCGTGCTAGCCAGCTTAGATACCGAAGCTGATAGCCTGGCGAATTTTTTAACGGAACACTCTTAAATCTGAAAAGATAACTCAACCAGTTATTTAGATGTACTCTCAAAACTTGATAACTGCGAAAATATTTGTTGATGTTGGTGACAAGCGAAGAAAAGCAGTGTTAATTAGAGTGGCTTTTTTGGCCGGCGCTCGCAAGATGGCGGCAATTACGTCCAATTACTTCTGATAAAAAATGTGTAAATTTCATTATTTCGAGTTTTCTTTATGTCCGTATTATTTGCTTATGGAGATGCAGAGTCTAGGGATAAATCTACCGAAGATTTTATTTCTAAGAAAATCTGCATCACTTTGGCAAAGCTTTTAACCCAAGGTGAAGCTGCGAAACGCGAAGGAGGAATAAATTACCGCCTCGAGCAGTATTCGCATAAATAACACTTCTCGTTTCTCATAAAGGCAGTTTAATGTTGATATAATTAGGTCTTTATTGGAGTTGTATAGGATTGTTATGTTAATCTAGATAGGGATTAATGTTAATAAATTCTAATTATATTTTACTTGAATGAATGTTTTGCTAATAACCGTGGTTGTGTATAAATCCGTTGATTGGTTGTGAAAAGCCAATCTTTACCCCAAAGAAAACCGCCAAGCAAGGATCCCTTTGCTAATAATAGCAATTTAATTTAGCAAGCCGGTCACTGTGTGAGGGGCATAATTTCCCCTGTGGGTCCACCATTCATGCTCTACTAGCTAAGCCTTTCGTGATTATGAGCGAGAAGCTATTGCGCCTCTACTGAGAGACGTGCGTGAAGCTCAAGGTGGCGACAACTTCCTTAGCCCAAAGCGTTGCATAATGGAGGTCCGAAACACCGCAGATAACTCTTCTTCTAAGGAGAAACATGGAGTATTTTCCTATAGCATAAACGGCATTTTAGGCCTTAAAAGTAGTTCTGACCCGGTGAAAGATCAAGACAGTGAGAACGCAGAGGAAATGGTACAAAACGAAGGTAATCACGGAAACGTTTTTCGTCGCCGGCATAGTGTTGGCAGAGTTACAACACGCGCTCGCTAAATGTGTCAGAGTTGCTCTTTTTACATCACGAAATTTGAGGAATTGAATCAATATATTTAACGCGGATGGTAATTTGAACTGCAAACTTAACTCGTCGCTGTAGAGATTCATCTACATCTTCTGCTTTTTACTTTTTAAAGTTCATTGTCAGCATAGCGAACACTTAGCAAAAGCTTGAAATCCACGGCTATTTGGGTATTATTACTTATCTATTTAGGTGAAAATATCTACCTTTTCAGAATAATGCGAACTAGTGTCGTTCTTCGATTCTCGACTTTTGATTTGGTTTAAATCATGGCGAAAATTTATCCATGAGACCTCTGATCTACTGCCAAGTTATGGCCACTCAACGGAAAAAAACTCAACATCACTGGTCAAAAATCATGCGCATTTTAAACAGAGTACTTTCCTAAATTCGCCAGCTTGTTTCTAAGAGACTGTCACATACTGTATTATTGAGTCGTCGAATTTTTTGACAAGAAATTAAATAGAGTTCTGGCAGTTTTTAGATGAACCACGAGTTTTGCAAAAGCAGTAACAACATTCTGCCTATTTGCTTTAATTCAGCCATTAGTAGATGTTTGTGATGAGTGTTTCGCTAGCGACAAGTGTAAAGCGCTTTAATCGAGTTTGCAGTTATTTTATTATGCGGTGAAGCGATTATTTTAACAACCTCTTGCAAATGAATCGCTTTGGAACTCAGTATTATGACTCCGGCTTTTTCACTGTAGTCCCTGTTCTCGGTGAATCATATCGTTTAGGCTTGAACACGACCAACGATTTACTTAAATTAACATGTAGACCATTTATTTCTTTCTTTCCAGAGTTACTCAACTCTGTCTCGTCTGAGCACGATGTACACTTTCAAAATTAACAATCTTCAAGGAAATGAAAAATTTAATGTTTCACAGCTCGCGGTGTGCGGAGAAATCATTTTGAAAAAACGAGAAGACACGAAATTCGATCCAAACAAAAGAAGTTTTAGAAAAGTGTTGTGTTTCTTAAACTGACTATATTTGTTGCTCTAAACTCTATTAGCGATGAACACCATTTCATGGCAGCTGGTTCCATCTTGACCCTAATAACTGCTAATTTTCAATTCAATTTACATCAATTTGTATGAAAGAATAGCTCATCGCTTTTCCATGCTATTCAAAACGCACTCCATTTGAATAAAATCTCGCTAGGATTATTTTTCATGCACGCCCCTTCGCAATTCACGCCAATTCTGACGACCTGAACTCTAATGACTTGGTTTTCTGGCTTGCTGCGTTTTGGCATTTTGAATAAACAAAGGAAATGTTTAATAAATTGCTCCTTTTTAATTGTTTTCCTTCGTCTAAAACAAAGGGGCGACACAAATGAAATCGCCTCGACAATGTGGCAAAGAATGGATGCCGAGTATTCTAAATTAAGGTAGATATCTATTAACGCCAAACCGTGGACTTTCATTGGATGAAGAGCCAATATTAAGAAAAGCCCTTGAAACTTTAAAATTTTTGTCCATCACTGAAAGAGACATAAGAGACAATCTGCCCGCAAAACTCATAAAAACTAGTCTGCCCATCTGTTGGAGCCAGTTTAAACAGACAACGATCGAGAAAAGTGGTTTTAAAAAGCTACTGGGTTGGGTTCACCATTGGAAAAGAGATGGATGTAAAATCCGGTTAGTTTAACCTTCACACGTATTTATTAAGCTTGTTAACTAGTCGACTTGTTAATAGTTGTTTTATTTTAGAATGATTCCGATATCACAGCGTAGAGTGGTAGTTTAACTTCACTGTAGGGTTTTTAGGAAGTTGGCATCTTACAAAGAAAATTAACGACCTGGCTTTGTAATCTTTAACAACTCCAAGAAAACAACCACAGTTTGCTATGTTATGAGCACAAGAAAACATTTTCCACTTCATATTAGGGAGGGAAAATGCAACGTTGAAAACGAGTTAACGAAAACATTTCAAAATGCATTTATCAACCCACACTCCGAATTCTCACGGAAATATTAATTGTCCAATTTACAAGTAGCAAGTTGTGTTTTATAGAACAAGTCTCCGCTTAGTGTATGGGATAACTTTTTGTTCTTTTCCTTGTAACAGCAGAAAGCAACGCTACTGAGACTGTCCCTGCAGAACAAGTTCCCGTAGAGGGAGATGAAGAAGCCGAAGAAGTGAACTCGTCGTCCGAAGACGCCACGGCTGCAGCGAAGAAAAAGAAAACTCGCTATCGCACAACATTTAGTCAGTATCAGCTAGAAGAGCTTGAACGAGCATTCGACAAAGCCCCTTATCCTGATGTCTTTGCACGGGAAGAATTAGCCTCTAAACTTGGTTTGACAGAAGCAAGAATCCAGGTAAATACAAATGCCACGTTTGAACTTGTTTAAAATATTTGCTTTTAATGATTAAATTCGCGATCAGTTCCTCTAGCTCGAGTTTGACGACACTAATTTGAAAAACAAGCGACAAAAATATTGAAAATAAGTATACTTTGAAATATTAATTTTCTACATCCTCAAATGGCTACAAAACATAGCTGGTTCAACCGAAAACAAAAGCTGTAATCAGCAATATTTTCGACAATTTTGACAGGGTTTTCAGCTTTAGTCCATCAAAATTCGTGAAACTTGATGGTGTTTTGGTGTGTCAGTAAAAAAATCGATCGTTTTAAAATTCGGCTGATATTATCAATTTAAGACCTCTACTGTCTTGGCAGAGTGCATCTGCCTTATTGACAAAATTCAAGCGATTAAGAATGCTATATTCGTTGGGATGGAAATGTTTCACTATCAAAGTTACAGTTTCGTGGCCTATCGAAGATTTTTGCTTTCGTATAGAATTTAATAGTGCTTGTTATTGCATTAAATTTGTTCTCATAAAAAAACTAACATTAATAATTCCAAGAGTACACATCCCTAAATATAGAGATGCTACGGTTGGTGGTTCATCTTTGAAAATGCCAGGTTTAAGCGACGTTGACCGATCAGTTCATTTAACACAAATGGTTTTCGCTTGAATAACTAAGTTTACATTTTATTTTCTGGGGGCGTCAGATTTTGAAAATGGCGGAAATGCAGAACTCAAACGAGCCGAGACGTCTTGCCTATTCGATTCCAAATGGAAGTCAATATCGATGTACACGATTTCCAATGTGGTGTTGTGGTATATATGATATAAGTTCATGCATACTTATAAAACAGACACGGGAAAACAGAAAGAGAAGGAAAATCTAGAGGGTAACTTTATTTTATTCTTCAACTCTTCTCTTAAGGTCTGGTTCCAGAACAGACGAGCAAAATGGCGAAAACGAGAAAAGCTGTGCGCTTTTGGAGCAGTTCCCCCGGGACATGGTATGGTCTACCCTTGGTTACACCAAGAGCCATTCTCTCCTAACACATCGTACCCTGTGACTTTCCCCTCGGGTCTTGGACACGGCAGTACCCCACGGGACATGTGCTCGTCCTTTTACCAAGCCACGACACATCCAATGCAGTGTTTCCGTTCGCAAGTTCCGGCCGTAATGCGCCCCGGTTGTCCCGATCCTCGTGAATGCCCTTGCTCTTGCAGCATGCTGTCTACGACGGGGAGCCCGTGCTTTATAGCACCCCCCTACCGACTTGAGGAGTCCGGGCGGGGATTTGATGTCCTACCCGAACATTCTGGTGGAATAACGAGGGAAACCAACCGAGTCTCCAGTATCGCTTCTCTTCGCCTTCGAGCCAAAGAACATCAGATGAATATTGTGCAGATTCTTAGTAGAAAATAAAATGGGACTGAACGCAACGTCAAATTCATATCTAAGTAGTTTTAAACAAAATTCAGAAGTATATACAGTAAAACTTCATATGGTAGTGGCAAAGTGAATGTGCGATTATAACGCATCGAACTTGTAAATACTAATGGTTATCACTTCGATACTCTTGGCTGTGTAGCGGACTTAACCGTATTAATATTTCAGTATTTGTAATTTTATAACCATAGCCTGACTATGAATTCTTCGAACTGCATCTCAGGCTCGAGTTTTCAAAATAATGTAAAACAAATTTAAAGCGAACATAACTGTAAATAAATTTATACAATTGACTAGTTTACTCCAGTTTTTCTCCTTCAAGAGAGACATAAGTGCAGTTAATCGTCTGGAGAAGAATCTAAAGTTGCAGAATGAATATTATCGCGCGCTTGTTCTATATTGTGAAAAGAGTTGTGAGCCTTGAAAATGGAATGGAGAGTTGAATCGACTTTACTTGTTTCAGGTAACGATCTTTGCGATTTTTCGAGATCAAGTTAAGAAAGCGGTTGCGTGGGCGGAATCATTAACAAATATTTACAATAAAGAATACATAAAAGAAAACTATTTGGACTAGAAGGAGTTTAATGCTAAAAGCAATGAAAAACCAAAATCAACTTGAGCCAAGAGAGTTTTAAAACCTTACAGGTGAATTTCGAGTGCGTAGAGTTCCTATAACTAAGTAAGGATTATTTCAATCATGTCCAGTAGTCTTCAAGCTCAATTTCATTATTTTGTCCCTTCTGCAAGTTATTCCGCATCTATCACTAAAGCAACATCATCTCATTAACTATCCTGTTTTGTTTTGCCTTGTTTTTTTTTTGTTTTTTGTTTTTTTTTTTTACCTTTTCAAAGGTATAATAGAGTATAAGCTTTAAGCGCGATAGCAAGCATCCTGTAAGTACTCATTTTCCTTCAAATTTCGCTGGAAAAAAGTCTCAATTAGAAAATTTTCACCAGGAAAAATTTCTTCTATTATAGGGCCATTGATTCCCAGAATTTTGTCAAGACGAAAATTATTTCCAAAGCAATCTATACATAATGAAAAAATCAGTTCAGTTGTATAAATTCGTACTCATAACATATCAATTATTTCTAAAGATTTTTAGCAAAATTATTTTGTATGTTAGAGAATGAAACACCCCTATTCTTTACTAAGCCCTTTTTTTTTTTTTTTTTCGCTTTGTTCAAAATCTCTCTAGTGATCTTATACAAAAGAAACGATCACATTCACTCTGTTGGAAACGAAAACAAAAGACATCTCTGCTCAAAGGACAAATACTAAAACAACAATACAAACGCTGGTTTAAATTTCACAAATAGAAATGAAAAAATCGAAAATGTGTCTCCAACTGTTGAACGCGGAACTTTGCATTAACGCGTAATCCGTCAGAAATTTCAATAACACATGTCATTCACACAAAGACAAAAAGACTGATAAATATTGACTGATTGTATTTCATAACACTGACCTCTTAAGATTGGCGTAAAAACCGCAGAAAACTCGTTATGAAAAATAATAAAAATTCGATTTTTGAAAACGCTAAATGCATCAGTCTTTTCCATTACATTTTATCTTTTGTATTAGAAACAAGCTTTTGTCCTCGTAATCACTTTTTCCAAAACCGATTTTTGATATCGTTTTTAAAAGCATGATAAACGGAATAATTAATTACCTTTCTTTCCTTTAGTCGTCATTGAGTCTGCAATAGTTAATAACGAGCGCGTTTATCAGTAAAATAATAGAACGCAAAATACATCAAGCCCATATTTACTCAAGAGCAAGTGGATAAGAGTGTTATTAAATGTCGATTAAACTCTCGTATCATACGGGAACGCAATAAACTTTAGACTTCCGCTGAAGCCACAGAAGACAAGATGTTGCCATATTTAGTTCTGATAGCTGATGCTGCCCTGTCAAAACTTTAGTTAAAGATTAAATTTATGAAAAAATCGAATACACGAGTTTCGAAACAGAAAAACTTCTGATTAACGCACACTTTTAAGTAAAAAGTTGGAAAGATCTCGATTGTAAAATACGCGCGAATTATTTTCAATTCATATTCGACACTTGTTTGTTTCTTTGCGATTAGAAAACAATTTAAATAACTTTTAAACAGAGAGCATCTCATGATAACATAAGAATTGCTCTATTTTTTCCTTCCTACAAGACAATAATGTGCAACCCACAGTCAATTCTAATTAATGATGAAAAGTTAAAGATGTTTAGCAGTCTTGTTTAAGTTTGTTTGAATGGATCACATCATCAGCTTCAGAACTATCTTTTAGGGTAAATAAAGATAAATGTATAGATTTTTGATGTCAGGTGCCTTGCAATTACTTAAGAACTATGTGAACTTATAAGAATTTTTTTACCAAATCGATCCATCTTGTCCACTTTTTGAGAGAAAAAAAAATTTTAAGTAGCCTTTATGTTGGGCTTTCTTATCACGGAAATTTTAATAAAAGAAAAAAAGAAGCGCTCGGCAGTCTTTTCTAGACATTTCACCTGAAGATTGAAGTTTTTTTTTAAATCTAAAATAATTTTCGATCGCCTTAGATTCATCACAGAAATATATTAGAAAATAACCTCAAAAAAAAAAACAAAAAAACATTTTCATCCATTTTACGATTGACCGAGTGTTCCCCGTTTCGGAAAAATATTTATTGACAAATCAAACCGTCAAGACGTTTTTTCTTTCGATTTAATTTTATGTAACTAATTTTAACCGTATAACAATATCGAACCTCTTTATAAATCGCTCGTTGTGGCAAAGGAGACATTCGGCGCCTCATGTCCGAGAAGGGGGCGTTGTGATTAAGCATAAAATCAGTTACTTCTAAAAATCTCTTTGTGTCTGTTTTTCTCAGGCTCATAGGGCCTCGACACAAAGCAGGTGACGCTCGACCGTTTTCCTGGAATGAAGAGCGCTACGTTTCTTTTCTTTCCATGAAATGAAACAAAAACATAATTTCAATCATTGTATGTTATCAGCAGGTAGCAGTAAATTAGATTCATTTTCAAGTCGATCGTCGTTTGTTTGCACCTAAACGAACTCGTCTAAATTAAAACGTTTTTATTTGCATCACATAAACTTTGACAGACTTTCGACAACATTTCCTCGTAAGACAAGAGAAACTCGAACGATGAAATTAATCTCAAAATCGAACATAAGAATGGTTTTTGTAATATTTATTGCATAACTTTTACCGACTTATTTCTCAATCCTGGGAGGTAAAGTAGTTTGGTGATAAACTCACACAATAATCTGAAGAATAATGTCAGTTTGACAACTCTTTTTGATACTATTTAGTATATAATATTTCTGAGGACAAAAATTTATCTGTGTTTCGGTGTCTTTTGAAGGCTCTGGGATGCTTCTCGCGGCTTCGTTTTCCGCGTCGCTTGTAGCACAACTTGTGGAACGAGAGGCTCAGATGGCTCCATTTCCGTCGTATTGGCAAGGCCAGTATCCTCTTCAACATCTCCTGTTGAGGTACTTGTTACAGTCTCTGTAAAGTCGATATCAACAACGCTATCGCTACTCACATTTAGATGTTTCCTTTTTTCTGCAACCTCGTGTTCTTGTCGTTCAATGGCGCGTTTCTTACGTTCCTTTGCTCTTTCGGCCCTTTCTTCTGAAGCCTTCTGTTTTTTTTCTTTCTGTTCGTCTCCCTTATAGTCCATTTTATCGAGATTTAAAGTTGGAACCCAATTGACATTGTGCTTGTCCCATGTAGCTGCAGCCTTCCCTGAAACGAACGAAGTGACCATCACAAACACGTTCGCTTTCAAGGATGTCCTTCTCGGCAGTATCGCCATGACTCACCGCCGAAATCCATCGATTTCTTCTCTCGCGCGTAAATTCCTCCAATTCTTCGCCTTGATTTGTGACAATCTTGGGTATCTTACAAAATTTTGCGTTGTTTTTCCCGCTTTTTCTTCTGCAACCTACCACAATACCGTGAACCATCCCGCACTCACGCACTCGCGCCTTAGATTTGTTTACATCTGAGGGGCACAAAGATGGCGGATAGCAACCGTTGTCATGGTCAGTGTCCCGTGAGTGAAAATCGAGAATATTTAGAGAAACAGTGCCACAGCCGTCTAATAAAGTTGGATAATTTGTCGCAGAATCTCAAGGTTTTACAGAGTTTTTTAAGAGATAGTTAGGCTGCAAGTGTGAAGAAAGAGTGACACATTTTTCAGTCGAAAGGATTGCTGTAACTGAGAAACAACTAGCTTTATTAGCTTCGCAGCACTGTTCGCAAAGAGACCGACAGCTGAGGACGGACAATCCTCTTGGCTCAAGTCCATTGACATAGTACACTTGGTTTTCCATGATAGCTCTAACGAGCGGCAAAATGAATTTAGTGAACAGTTTCTTCCAGAGAAGAGAGGCGATCGATCTCTGGTGCGGCCTGGTATACGAAGGATTTTCGATGAACAATTGAAACGGAGACACCTTTTCTCTTGAAAGACACGAAGACAGTCACGGAACAGGTGCTTTATCTACTCAACGGAATAATGGACGGTGGAATAGCGGAGGTGCAACTGCGGAATATATTAAATCACGAGATCACGGGAGATTCTAAAACGCGGAATGCCTTGTATGAAAAAGAAGTCTAAAAAAATTAGAATTGCGATGAAATAACAAAATTATAGTTTATTGATAGTTAGAGCTTATCTAAATCTAAATCTAAATATCGTTATGTCGGCAAAATCGTTTAGGACATCACGCCAACTCTAAGATACTAATAAGTGAAGCTATACTAAATATACAACACTATTAAAAACTATTGAAAATTATTAAAAACTATTTAAAAGTACCGATAAAATAAATTTAAGTTAGTTTGCTTTTAAAGATACGGAGGGATTGACTGGAAACGGTTTCTTTTGGAAGTTTGTTCCAATCAGTTATTGTCCTGGGAAAAAAAGAAAATCTAAAAATATCTTTATGTCCTTTCGGTATAATAAATTTAAAATCATAGCTTCTTCGGGTTCTCCTTTCTTTGTTTGTTATCAGATAATCCCCCCAATCCCCATCTAGGAGGCCGTGGCACATCTTGTACATATTGGAGAGCCTTGCATGTCTTCTTATTGTTTCAAGTGTGTCCCATTGTAGGTCTTGCAGCAATTCCGTCACGCTCGTTGTTCGATTGTAATTTCCTGTGACAAAGCGGGCTGCTTTCCGCTGTACCCTTTCTAGAGCGGCTCTATCTTTCTGGTAATGTGGGTCCCATGCGCTACAGGCATACTGGAGTTTTGGCCTCACAAGTGTCATATACACGGTTT